TTCAAATATTATCATTAACTAAAGTTTTAATTTGGAATCAAATGATGTCTGTCTGTAATTACGTCATCAGTCTGGTTATAAAGTACTTTTTTTACTGGCCGTTGTTCGGTTCTAAAATTAAACACAAACGGAGAAATTAGAACTGTTCTAATCTGTGTCTAGTTTCATATATTCAGTCACAGAAATCTGTCTAAGAATGCGCTATGTATAAAATAAAATTTAGTTACATAACAAATAGAATAATGAAAACAGTTAGGCTTTAACGAGCAGTTTCTGAGCTTATGTAGCAAAATTTAATGGCGGACAACTGAGGTCATGTAGATGATCCTTTTAAACGTGAAATTTGAAAGATTTGTTCAGATTAATTACAAACACACTTGGCCTACTAACAAATGTTGAGGGTTTTCTAATAAAAAAAATTGAAAGTTGAAACCAGATTACTGGCGAAGATAAAGGAAACCTAATTTTAAAGCTGTTTTTGTTCATCCTGCTTATTGACCCCTGTTTATTGAAACCATTGGCTGTTACAGAAATGCCAAAAAACTTTTTACAATAAAATGTAATATTTTGTTAGAATATATATATATCACTGTAAATTTGCTGTAGAAGCTAAACGCGACACGTTTTTTTAAGCTATTTCCAGATATTTTTGACATGGTACTAGATACGTCTGTGTGTCATCGAACACAAACCATTTTTGAGCTATTTGTATTATCTAACAAAAACTTATTTTTATTGTTCTTATATAAGGACCTTCTACTAAGTATCGTTCCTACACAGGTATGGTTTATCCTCGCCTTTCTCTTTCTGTTTTGTGCCTGCTTCTATTACTCCATCTGCCGTTTATTTCAAAGGCAGTGTAACAGAAGAATTAACAGATTTATAAACATCTTGTGGAATTTTCTAGCACCAATGTTGAACCAAGGTTAGTATTTAGAAAGTAGTAGTATGATTTTGTTCTTAATCAAGTCTTTTTTTTCAATTCAACTGAATTACAATCAATATGTATTATGCTTATCAGCCCTTCTTTGGATTAACGTTTTGCCATTATTAGCAGTTTATACTTTTTCGTGAAATTGTTTGTAGTTGAGCACAAAGCAACACAATGTGCTATTTGTGCTGTGACCATTGTATCTAAACTCGGTTTTTAGCATTATAAGCCTTCACTTCAGACTTCCCGCAGTACTACTGGGGGGGGGGGAATATGAAATAAATGTTTTGCCATTTTCTACTACCCCAAGTGGCACAGCGATAAATCTGAGGACTTATAATGTTAAAATTCAGGTTTAGATACCCGTAGTGGGCACAGCACAGATAACCACTATGTAGCTTTGCAATTAACTATATATATAAGCAAAACATTTTCTGTTGTTTTTTTTATATGAAATAACTTAAGGTGTTTCGTGGATGTCCACATATTTAAAATATTTTTTAAAAAGGTGTTTTGTACTTTAATTCTTGTATCGAAAGGCTCGGTATTTTTTAAAAACTAGTTGTTATAGACAGTTATCCAAATCGAGTGTAACAAATAAATAGCCGATCGTCAACAAAACTCTAGAAAGTGCCATATTTTCAAAAGTGAGTTGCAAGTCCCGTAAGCTGTGGGAACGGGCTCAGGAATGGAGGGTCCAAGATTCGAATCTGCAAGTTTAGCTGTGAGCGCATTATCACTAAGCACGGTGGTGCTTACTATATAGTGATGGGTCAAGAAAAAAAATGGCTGCTGCATTCAATCTGTTACTCTATGGTGCTTACAAATAACTGCCAAAATTCAGATATACTTGAGCACCAAATTGCCATTACTGAGTGTTTCACAACTTCTATAACAGTAATAGTATTCTACCACACATATTTTTTTGAGAAATAATAAAAAGGAAAACTGCTACTTAGCAATGATTTTAGTTTATAAGTGTATTAATTCCATGTTTCATAAATAACAGTTTAATTTCTGGTCGCTAGATGGAAGCACAAATTGTTCTTATATAACGACCATTTGTGATAAAACAATTTCAGTAAAAATATATAAAGAAAGAAAGAATAATCTAAATTAATATTCAATATATCAAGGAGATCAAGTATCTGTGTACATGTTATTGATGTCTGAGTTTAAAAACACCAGTTTCTAAATTATCAAATATTACAATATATAGCAGCCTACTTTTCTTCAAATTTTTAGTGGGGGTAAGCCTGGCAGCTATGTGTGTATGCATGGTATCATACTTCATGGTCTGGGATCTGTATGATTTCTTCTTTTTTAATCGACATAATCCTAGCTTGTGGTGGAATCGATTTTATGCACATGCAGTGAGTTGGGGGTGAAGTTGGAAGGAGTTGTTTATGTAAATATCATCTTAACATGAGTCCAGTGCTCCAGGATACTTGTACCATCCTGGAAGATCCATTACAGCTTCACTGTCCCCTAATGTAATCCAAAATTAGAGAAACTGACAAAACTGATGATATGAACAATATATATTACCATTGAATTATAAAAAATACAACAAATGTTCACTTATCAACATACTTCAATGAAATTGTTTTACAAAAGAAGGGAAAACAAGTCACAAAAAAGTGCAAAAATCAAGTATGATGTAGGGATGTTAATGCCAAAAAGTACAGAAACAAGGAAGAAATGAATACAGAAAACTATACAAAAATCACTACATAAGTAGCCAAATCTTTCCAATAATAACTTTTATATACAACTAAATTTTGAATTTTTGTCAGTTGCATGAAATCGGGCTTGGTTAAAATGCTTTTAAACTGAATAGTGCTGTACAGTCTTATAGTGACTAATAACCATAAGCTAGTAAGATTTACTCAGTACTTACTGGCTACTTATATAGTGATTTTTGTATGATTTTCTGTATTCATCCCAACCTTGTTTCTGTATTTTTTGGCATTGTCATCCCTACATCATGCTTAATTTTTCGAAACATTTTCTTCATTACTTTAAAACTAAGTTTTTCGACTTGTATCCATCCCTCTGGTTGGTAATTATTAAATATGGTAAACAAAACAAGTACTTTGCTTAGATCCACTAAATATGGAAAAACGTGCATTTTATAATGAAATATTTAAAATTTGTTATGATTATCCTGTCATAGCTAATATATTAAAATAATAAAGATTGAAAACAAAGAGATCATAATTTGTAGTAAAAGCACCTACCATACGGAGATTTCATTATATTGACATTGACTTAGTAATTGTACTAAATTATTCCAGAGTATTAGTTGAATTTTTCACCACAAAATTTTCAAAACTATTTCTAACCTCCTTTAGATCTAGTTTTACTAGTAATTCACTTTCACTCAAACTTTGCAAACTACAAAAACGGAAGTTTGTTTGTTATAAGCTACACAAATGGCTGTCAGCGATGTGTCCATCGCGAGAATCGAACCAGGAATTTTAGGATAATAAACCATTAAACTCTTAGTTGAGCTACCAGGTGAACAAAGAGAGAAGAAAATGTAACAACTGTCTCTAGCATTTAATTTAACCGATTTTTTAATTTATTTCTAATTCTAAATGTTTTGTCTGCCTGTTTAATTTTAATGATAATACACATTAAGTATTAGTTGGATTGTATCTTTTTAATAGTCTCTCTTTTTTTCTAGTCTCCGTAGGGCTTATAACTTCAAAATTCTGACTCTGAACTTAGTGTAGTTAGCCCATGATGTGGTATCTCCCAGTGGGCCAGTGTAAATTTTCGGACTTACAATGCTAAAATTCGGGGTTCGATTCCCCCGTAGTGGACACATCATAGATAGTCTATTCTGTAACTTTATGCTAAAACAATCCAACCACTTTTATCTATTCATGTATATATTTTTAACCATACTACTTTTCTACTTTTAGGAATATATCTTGAGAGCTTTTCCTTCACCACTAAAGGAATCGTGGCTTTATGGAGTCTAACAGCGTTGTTTTTCTTGTGTTGTTTTAACGGCTTAATCATTTCGTCAATCACTAAGAAAGTGAGCCATACTTCTCTGGAAGATCTAACCAAAGATAACAACCTCCAAAAAGTAACAATGAAAAAAAAAAGATTTTCTATACTTAACTTTGAATCATTTGTGATACTTACAGAATGATATGGAAATAAAAGTTAGTAGAAGGCAATGAGAACATATTTCTGGTATAAACCGGAACAAATATATAGATACGTGTTTTTTTTTTAATATAACACATGGATTATAGCTTTTTTGTCACGTCCAACCAGTTCTAATATAAAATCTACAGCCATTGTATTACCAAAAACATACTCTGAAATGGCCCTCAACGATTGAATGTAGGGGCACCAATGGGTGCTTTGAATATCCTAAGACTTTTGTGGAAAATGTACTGCAGAGCTATTTTCAAGATGCACGGTAGTCAGATAAATTATGACCAGATGTGACAACATGGTTTGTAACGACGTGATGAGGCTTCATAAACTTTTTAATATAACATAATTAACCCTCTCTATATGTAAAGTTTTCAAAAGAAAGACTGCCAGTTGGACACATGGTGTACAGGATTAAGTAGGATATAGCAAAATAATTTCAAATTTGCAAATATGTAAATACTGTGTCAACCACAGCCAATATAAAGTCGAGTGGAATGTCGTTTATCAGAACTACATTTTGACATTGTTTGGCGTTTTGCGAAGGGTATGTGACAGCTGTTTTCATACACTTAGATCATAATAAATGTGTTCTGATCGTGGATTTAGAATTTTCAAGATGGTGATATCTCTTTTACTTATTGCTATTAGAAAACAAAAGAATATGGATCAACTTGGAGATCTAGGATCATCCAGAAAGAGTCCTGCAACAGGTTGTACTCTGCCATGTTGTGCAAAATGTGGCATCTTGTAACAGGAGAGAATCGATGAACACAAAATATCAATGGCAAAAGCCGTCCACGTGCCTCAGGCTACATAATTGAAAAGGATCTCTGCTGTCGCTTACTTCAAATAGCTGAAGAATAAAAAGGTACATACATGCTATTTCAAGATATATTGGTTATATCGCCGAAAGCAGCACTTATGGATCTCCGTGCGAGCAGGCTGTTGAAGCGAAGGCTAGGAAACTGTCGTCCTCCTACACTAGATGGGTTTTGGAAAGCATGCAGGGAGGATTGGTATGTCTTTTTTAAGTCAGCAATATTTTGATACGTACGAAAATGTGACAAATAGATGTATTAAGTGGATTTTGAATTAAATATTAATTGCATTTTTAATTAGTCTGAATTACTGAACTGTGTTTATTTTATAGTTTCATTAGACTAACTACATATGTGTGAAACAAACACAAAAATTAAATTTCAATTTGAGCCAACTGCTAATCGTAAAATAAGGATGAACACACACACACATATACCCCTTTTATATATTTGGCACACTCGCAAAGGAAGATTGCTAAATTTTCAGATCTCATTTTCTGCGGGAAAATACTCTGGGTCTTCTTTTTGATATGTTATCGTCAAAATTAACAACATTCACAATATTGTAATTATAGAAAAATCGCTCTCTTTCTTTTTTTTTATTAAGTACAAATAAGACTAAAATTGTTATTTTTTGTCTTTTTCATTTAATGTTTGATTAAATACACCAATTATAATTCAAAATTTTACTAGCAAAGAACTGTTTTTTTTTTCTATTGTCAAGAGAATTCTGCCATTTGAAGAAATAATTTCATTATTAATTCGTAACTGGTGAAGTAGCACTAACTGAATTACAATTCTCGACAACATGAATTTAAAGAAATAAAACTAATTGTATTCAGGAAATCAGATATTTGGCCAAATTCACATATATATTTTCAGAGTTGATTATTTTAATTCTTTGTACGATGTTCTGTTTGTGCGATTTTGAAATGATAAATTAAATAGATAATTTTTAAGGATTAATGGTATCTTTTATGAACTAATTGATAATTTTAAGGTTAAATGTATAATTTTAAGGATAAATTATTATTTTTAAGAATTAATGAATACTTTTTAAGAACTAAATGAATAAATTGTAGTAATTAAACTAACAGTTTTTAAGGATTAAATCAACAGATTTGATGGATTGAATGAATATTTTTTTAAGAATTAGATGAACATTTGTTTAAGAATTCAATGAACAGTTTTTATGGATTAAATCAATAGATTTGATGGATTGAATGAATAATTTTTAAGAATTAGATGAACATTTTCTATGTAATTAGACAATGCTTCTCTTAATTTACAGGAATCAAAACATCCAGTGTTAAAGATTCTGGCGGATAGGCTGAAAGCTGTCCCAGACAGTTACGTTTTAAATCATCTCATACATGAAGATATAGTTTTGGATAAAGTAGAATTTGGAAACAAAGTGCTCTTTACTTTCTACTCAGAAATCCTAAATGCAATGGCCGAGAGGTTTTCCCGTAAGAAGAAGTGTGACTTCATACTGTCAGAAAATCGTCACTTCCCAAGAATCTTATCTTATGCTGTTGGGAAACACCTCCCTAAATGTTTTATTGATGCTTTAGAATGGAAGTGAGTATTACACGCACTGACTTAGAATTACTGAGGTAGTATATTCATTTAAACTTTAATTATTTATTAATGAATTTCAAAAATAGTTACACCAGAATAAATATTATCATGCTGTCTGCCCTATTACCCATTTAAGGTGATATATTTATAAATGATTTCCACACATTCCAAAAACCTTACGAGTACGCTCCCCCACACAGGTGTATGTGGCACCTTAAAATAACACTTGGAAAGCACATATTACTGAAACAGGACTACTGATTTCTGTGTGGAATATTTTAATAAAGATTAAAGTTGAGAAGTCACGTTTAGCTAACTTAATTTTAATGTTATTTACATTTTAAAATATTCCTTCCCCAAGCTGTAAATGTTATATCATCAGATAAAGTTTAAGCTTCGATAAATATAAGAACAAGATAACTGAGAAAGTATTCGAGATTTTTTTTTATGCTCTAACTGTCGTTTGAGTGATCGACTACCACCTACAGCAAAATTTGTAAAAGAACCTTCGAGAAATGTATATTGAACAGAAAATTAATAAATAAATGCAAATTACAATTATTCTTTTTTAAAATATATTCATTTCATTAAAGTGTTCAGATATTTTATTTTCACTTTAAATTTCAGAGCGATTCATGCTAAGGTAGGTCATTTTGCCCCACTCATCAACCACATATTTAGTCTTTTTTAGATAATATTTTCTTATTATTGTTTCAGGACCAACATGATTTATATCAACAGATTATTAGATCACTGGTTAATGGAGTACACAGCCAACCACACCAAGTGTCTCAGCCAAAGAAAGCCATCCATCCATTCGTTAAGTCTAAAGGACACCAGCACTATTTTCATGTGGTGGGTCAAAGGTTTGACTGCAGCATCAGTTTTTCTTCTTTTTGAAATATTGTGGGTAAAGATACAAAAATATGTTAATTCGTAATATATTTTATCACTGTTTCATTTCTAATCACCTGTACTTTATGCGTTATAGTTCTAGAAGTTGCATTGTGGGACGAATTATTTATGGAAGTAGCAATATTATGTGTTAACAAGATAGTTATCTAGTGTTTTAAATAAAACTGACATATGGTTAATTGTTTGTTTGACGTTATGCACAAAGCTACACAATGGGGTATCCGTGCTCTGCCCACCACGGGTATCGAAACCCGATTTCTAGCATTGTAAGTCCGCAGACATACCGCTGTGCCAATGGGGGTCCCATATAGTTAAAAAAGCACGTCTTTTAAATTAATATTCGGCCCTTCTCTCTAGTTTCAGTAACACATTAGAATGATGGTCACTCTTCCACTTTCAGTTTTGAACTCGAAACTATTTAATGAGTAGGAAAAAGTAAAATGATGACTGTATTCTTTAAAAGTAATAATAATAATATGAAGTTTAATAATTTGATAAAGTTCATATTATTATTACTTTTATCAAATTATTAAACTTCATATTATTATTACTTTTATCAAATTATTAAACTTCATATTATTATTACTTTTATCAAATTATTAAACTTCATATTATTATTATTAGTTTAATAATTTGATAAAAGTAATAATAATATGAAGTTTAATAATTTGATATTATTTGCTCCATGTATTGTATTCCACTCGAAATGTGTAAAGGACCTCGACAATTTGTCGTGCTCTGACGATTAGTTCGTCCTTAGAAAATTCATCTGTTTATAACATATACTTCAGTTTTTTCCTTCAGTTTTTTTAAAATGATAAGTAATTATGTGTCAGATATGTAACTGATTTTTGATATAATATTTCAATGCTAAAAATTATAAATTCAGATATTTAATCATGAACTTATATGACACTTGTTCATGCCAGTGTTTTTGTGTTCCTTAAGTAAAGTATACTATATTTTTAATTGTTACTTTCATTAACATTATTGGTTATACTACTTTGTATATTGAATGTTATTACATTTTATTTTGATTCATTGTTTACTTATAGTACAAAGATTGTTTTGAAATGTTAGCCTAATATATGTATTTAGGACTAACCTAAATCTCTTTAGTTGACTGAATCTCTTGAGCTATTATTTTCTTCACTGAAAAAGCTGTAAAGCGAAACGTTGAGTGTCCAATTAAAGAAAATTAAAAAATTTGGATTATAAAGTCGTTTATTTTTAGTATTAAAATATTTTCTATTCACCAGTATGCGCTACAAAAATTAAATAATTGGGAATTGTTGTAGTAATTAAGGAAATGAACACAGATAACCACCCGAAATAATGCATTAAAACAAAAGATTCTGGAACACCATACAATATGCTGCCACTTGCACGTTGGTGTCATTAACACAGAACGTTAACACATATGCTGATGTAGTAGGAATGTAAAATAGGAAACATTCTGTAATAGTGAAATATTTGTATATATACATATGTATGTATGGAACTGTAATGGTGAAATTATGTAGGTATGTGTATATGAAACCATTATGACCATTGGATAAAATAAACTTTGTTTTTTAGTTGGACTAATATCTTGCTTTATTTTTATCCCTTGTGAACCTGATTTTAGAACGTTTTCGTTAATTGTATGTTTAAACTGCATAAAAGAAACGAATTTAAACTAGGCATTATATTAAGTACCATTTTGTGGTCCAGTTTATTTGTAATTAAGCACAAAGCTACACAATGGCCTAT